AAATTAAAGTTATTTATTTAAAATTATATAATAATATAATATCTAAAATTTGATTGGCTAAAACTGATGATGTCATTGATGACATAATTACGGCTAATTGCGGCACATATGTTGCAACTACCAACAAAAACTGCAACTATTAAAATTTAAATAAATAATTGAGGAGTCATCTTTAGTTCTAACCTTAAATGTATCAGACTTCAGAAACTCCAAAATTTCAGATACATTACACATTTGATCTCGCGATTTGATTGGTTTACTTCTTAAAAAATGATTATAAATTTCGGCACTGGCCCGGAAAGATCACCTGATTCAGCACTACCTAAACACTGTCCGGCTCGTACTCAGATGACCAGTCGTGGCTAGGGGAATTTTTTTGAAAACATACATGTAATATCAGCAGGGAAAATTTTGGGAATAATAATTCGTGTAACATACACTTAGTGAGCTGAAAGAGCGAGTTGATGCACCCTTTGTTGTGATCATCATCTTCTTCCACATATATAAATAAAATAAATAAAAATAAATAAAATAATATATACATATATAAACCGCTAACTCAATAACACATAGTTTGTTTTAACACCATTCTCTTACTTTAACAACAAAACAGCAGCTTGTCGAGAGCTTTTTTAACCATTTACTTCAAAATTACAAAGAAGCTTCTCGTCACGACAGTTTAAGTAGATTCTACTACCACCCAACAAAAAGCAGTGAATGAAATAATAATTATTACTATTATTATTATTACATTTTTAGAATCTCCAAAAGCGAGCGGAAAGAACAGGTTGTGTGTGTTTTAATGATTTTATTGCAAGTAAGCAAAAGCGAGCAACAACAAAATCAAAGGGCAACGACCAGGACGATTAAGACGACGATCTCTAGAGATCTAGAGTAATTTGATATATAAAAGACTTTCATTTATTAGTTATTTTTTTATCACAATCATTCGTTGTGATTTTAAGGGGAATTTATTATTGATTTCGGAGCGTTCTCGCTGTTGGACATTAATCAATTGGATTGCTAAATAAATAACATCATAAAATATATGATGGACAAGTCTCCACGTATTAGACGACACACCGAGCATATTCAACCACCACAATTTGTAACTGCTGCTTCCTTGAGTCATAGCAGTAACAATGGTAGTAATAATAGTAATAATGATAATAATATAAATATAAAGAATAGACAAACCGCTCCTGGTGTTGCTACAAGTACTGAAAATATGGACTATGTTGGGATTACAATCACCGAGGATTATGCACATAAAGAATTGCCTTTCCCCGTATTATCTTCCCAACGTAATCAGCAACAACTACAGTCACAGCAACAGCAACATTCATCACAGCCACAACAGCCACTTCAGCGTAATTCACAAGCTTCGAATACAGCTCAGCGTCATGATCCCCCGATAATTTATCTTAGGCGGCGATCAGAGAATTACGTGCAACATCCTCTTCAGTCTAAAAACTATTCTGTATCTCCATCTACTACATCATCATTACAGCAAATATTACCTCAACATCGAACACCAGCATCATCATCTCAACATATATCTCTGCTACATCAATTACCAATTTCGCAACAGCAATTACCTCCACTAAACAATAATAATAACAACAACAACAATACTAACAATAACAGTAATAGTAATAATTCTTCATCTTCACAAAATTTACTATTACCACAATATTCTTCTAATTTACATCTCCCTTCACAAACTCATCATCCGCCATTAATAAATCCAAGTGCGAAACAACAGCAACAACAAATACAATCACAGCAACAACAACAGCAGCATCATTATCAACGTACCGCTCACCTTAATCACAATACTCAGTCATCGAATAATCATCATCATCAGCAACAGCATCACAATCATCCCCAGTCAAATAATCATCAAATGGCTACTTCATCGTCAAAATCATATAACGGTAACAACAATTATTCATCATCCTCTCAGACGATAATTCCTCCACCAGGAGCATCTTCTTCTCAATCTCAATCTCCGATCAAAAACTCAAATATAACAACACACAATTTCCATTTCCGAAAAGACTACGACTCCAAACACGATTTTCGTGGATCAGTTTTTCGACATGTCCGCTCAAAATCCGATATAAATCAGTATTCACACAACTCTCGCACAGCAACATTATCAACAACGGCGACGACGCTGCCGACGACATCTGATCAAAAGAAACATAATAGTGATATCAGTGTATGTTAACTTTTCTAATCATTATTTTCAAATTTAATACAAGCATTTTGAGCATTATCTCATTACATAGATTTACCTTGAATAATATTGTGTGTGAACACCGCAGTAATTGCTACTACATACTACTATTACTATGAAACATTAAAAAATTTGATTACTACAGCCACTAAAAGCACTGACTGTGAAACTCTCAACAACTTATCATCGTGTTAATCCCAATTTTCGGTATGAAAATGCCCAGAATCCGCGTCGGGTTCTAACTAAACCTTCAAAAGGTGTGAAGAACGATGGGTATGATAATGAGGACTCGGACTATATACTTTACGTGAATGATATACTGGGCAATGAGGAAGGACAAAAGTGAGTGTTTTGATTTTGCGTAATCAATTTCATCTATTTTGTTTCCAATTGATTTCCTTAATTAATTGATTGATCACTCGTAGATATCGAATACTGGATATTCTTGGTCAAGGAACTTTTGGTCAAGTGGTGAAATGTCTTAACCTCAAGACAAAAGAAATAGTTGCCGTAAAAGTAGTGAAGAACAAACCCGCATATTTTAATCAAAGTATGATGGAGGTGGCAATACTGCAGTTGGTAAGAAAGCATCAAATTATTTAAATAATGTTGTAATTACATTATCATGAAGGTGTTTCTTATGAATAATTCAAACATCAACACCATCACTTTTTCTAGTTGAATCAACAATGGGATGCGCAAGATGAGCATCATATATTGCGTCTGCGTGATACTTTTATACACAAGAAACATTTATGCTTGGTGTTTGAACTGTTGTCGGTGAATCTGTATGAGTTGATCAAGCAGAATCAATTCCGTGGCCTTAGCACGAATCTTGTGAGAGTATTCACCGCGCAGTTATTGGACTCTCTGACGGTTTTGAATGAGGCACGGATAATTCATTGCGATTTAAAACCGGAAAATGTATTGTTAAAAAAGTAATAATACTATTTTTGATATAATTATTGTTTCATTGTAACATGTAAATTAAATCACTAAGTCAATTTTATAATTATCATTAAGTCTTGAGTCACCGACTATTAAAGTAATTGACTTTGGCTCTGCATGTCACGAGCGTCAGACTGTATACACATATATTCAATCTCGATTTTATCGAAGCCCTGAGGTTTTATTGGGGTTACCGTAAGTTTATTCGGAGAGTGAAAATTGGAATTGCTTTGAGAATAATTTTATTCCTACTTATCTCCGTGTCTCTATATATAGATATTCATCATCAATTGATATGTGGTCATTGGGTTGTATTGCCGTGGAATTATTTCTCGGGTTGCCTTTGTTTCCGGGCAGTTCAGAATACAATCAAGTATCTCGTATAGTGGAAATGCTTGGTGTTCCACCTCCCTACATGATAGAAGTGGGAAAAACTGCGCATGATTACTTCGAACGTTACACCAACGAGCACGGTCAAAAAAAATATCGTCTAAAGTCGATGGAGCAATACATGCGAGAACATAATTGCGTTGAACAACCCTCAAAAAAATATTTTTCTGCGACAACGCTTCCAGAAATCATTCAGGGTTATCCTATCACAAGGAAAGGGCTTTCCCAAAAGGACATCGATAAAGGTAAAGAATAATTAGTGAGGTTTTCTGTTGGTCATTTTTGGGTTAAAATAAATAGCAGTTAAGTGACGTTTTGTTTTTGCCAAATTTTTAGAAATGCAAAACCGATTAGCATTTATTGATTTCGTTCAGGGATTATTGAATTTGAATCCGATTGAACGTTGGTCCCCTCAACAGGCCAAATTACATCCTTTTATTACAGGAGAAAAGTTCACAGGGAAATTTATTCCACCCATGTTGCTTAAATCTACAAAAACTAATTCGGGACAAGTTATTTCTTCGTTACCTGCATCTCATCAAAATCCTTCCGTGCTTTTATCCCCAATATCTTCGCAATCGGTACACAAGACTCCGAATTCTTCACCCAAAACTCCACACAGAAAACAAGTTTCAGATAATTTACAAAGTGGCAGCAACAGTAATATGCTATCCTCCCATAATACCGGTCATGTGACATCTCAGCGTCACCCCACTCAAAATGCCACAAAGACAATATCATCTTCCTCCTCATCAACTTTGACCACAAAATCGATCGGTTCAATAAATCGACCCCGAGCAAGCACAATTGGAAATGTTCAAGTACCACCTCAAATACAACGCGCCGCGGCTCTAGTATCTCCCGGGAGAGCACCACGAGAAAAAGATCCTAGACGATTACCTCAGCATTATCCACACTTAAATTTCTTGAATGAGGATGTGTCTTCAGAAAACAGTCCTTTCTCGGTAGTTGTGGATAGTGATGATAGACGTGATATTGAGAGCAATAATAGTGGAGGTTTTGGAATACGCATCAATGAAGAATGGCTGGAGATGAAAGGTACTCGACTTTGGGATGATCGATATCGTAGTAGCAGAGATGAACAACAGCAATATCGAGAAGAACTTTATCATCAAATTAGGACATCCTCATCTAATGATGCTTCGATAAAAAGAGGGGGAGAAGGACAAAATATAGTAATCAACAATAACGAAAAGAGGCTTCGTGGAGATGGCGGAATGCAAATGCCCGGATCTTTACCGAACGGTGTATTTGATGATAGTATTATTGGTGGCGATGCAAATGTTTTGCCACTTCATTTATCTCCTGCTCCTTTAAGAAATTTTAGGAATTCCCCAAATAATTACACGTCACCAAATTCATCCCCGTATCAAAATCATGCACAAGGACAGCTTCATCTATTACCGCTTCCCCCAAATATGAATTATCAGCAAAATTTTGTACCACCACCACCACCACCTCCTCCTCCTGTCCTGCCGCTTCATCACGATAATAATAATTTTTCCTCGTCTCCAACAACATACATGACATCATCACCTAATAAATATACTACTACAACGATACCCACATCGTCAACATCATCGACGACGTCTTCATCGTCAAAGTATCCAATACATTCACAACCTCATTTTGCAATATCCCCTACAACAATAACGACAACAACAGCAACATCATCATCAATAGCAACAAATTCCACTGCTTCTGCTGAAAATATTAATAACAATAATAATGCTAATGCTAAACATTCAGAGCGTGAGAAACATCATCATCATCGATATAGCACAAATAGCGTTGGCAATGTTTAGCTAATTATTGATTTGAACATTAATTGATTAATGCAGCAATATAACCCGAAGAAATGCCATGCACGTGTAGTAGGCTGAGGCCCGTAACGATTTTAATCAATGCAGGTATAATTATTATTTATTATTTTTATTATTATTATTATTACTTAGCTTGACCATTTAGGGATTTCTTAAATTTAAGCATAAAGAAAAGAAGCAGAAGGAAAACAGAAATTGGTCTATTTTTTTGGATATTTATTATTCCCTTTGTCTTAAAATACATATTCTAATTTTAGGCGTAGAGAAAAAAGGTCAATAATAATAATATCAAATTCTATGGCATCAATCATCATCTCCCATGTTCGTCATCTTTTATTATTATTATTATTATTATTATTATTATTATTATTATTATTTTGAAACATTCAAAATTTGATTTCTCAAGAGATTATTCTTGTAAAATACTAAATGAATGTATTTCATTTAGTAAACCAGTAATAATTTGATTTATTAGAGATAAAACGTAGCGATAGTATTTTGTGTATGTGAACTTACTATATTTAGATCCTAAAACTGGATAGGTGAAATAAAGAATCATACATCCAATTGCTGATTCGTTCGTCACTGATATCACTAGAAAAAAGGGAGTGTATATAAACACCCCAAACACCCTTAATTTTAAAATGAATTATATCTTTGACACTAGAAAACTTGGTCAGTCTACCTCAACTGAAAAAATCTAAATCAATCCATACAGAAATGAGCACCAGCGAAGCCCCAAAGAAAGTAACTCTTAGAAGTTGTGACGAACATGAATTTAAAGTTGATATACCAGTTGCAAGTCGTTCCATCTTGCTCAAAAACATGATTGAAGGTTCGTTAACTGTTTTTTTGTTGAATTGCATAATTTCTTACTCTTGAAAATAATTAACTCGTCTCCATTTATTTCCTTTTTATACGGTCGCTTTGTATTTGAAATTGACGCGTTTCTTGCAATAATATAAAGATGTAGGAGAGACCGACCAATCTATCCCTCTGCCTAACGTCAATGAGAAGGTCTTAAAAAAGGTATGCGTTTATTCTTTTATTAATGCTACTATAAATACTGCTATCATAAGTTTCCCTCTTTTGATAATAATCCTTTGTTACTTTCTTAAAGGTATTGGAATGGTGCGAGCATCATGTTAAAGATGCTCAACCGACCAACGACGATGATGATTCTCGTCGACGAAATACTGATATCGAGGACTGGGATCAGAAATTTCTTAATGTTGAACAAGACATGTTATTTGAAATAATTCTGGTAAATAAATCCTTTTCTCCAGCCATCTAAATAATCCAACTAAGCCAGACAAAAACACTTAAAAGCATTTCTAATTGATTTCTAGGCCGCCAACTATTTGGATATTAAACCATTGCTGTGAGTATCAAATTATTCGACGTCGTCATCATCATCAGTTACATACAGTTTTCCATAATTTATTTTCTTATTACTATAGACTCACACAATACATATTATGATTTTCTTTAAATCATACCAAATAATTAGCGACATCGGATGTAAAACTGTGGCTAATATGATCAAAGGAAAATCACCCGAAGAAATTCGTCAAACATTCAACATCATCAACGATTTCACCCCCGAGGAGGAAGAGCAAATCCGTAAAGAAAATGAATGGGCCGAAGATCGATAAACCTAAACATAACTTCGTACATATATACAACACAACAATAAATTAATTGATTGATTTTCCACATATGATGATAATATTAATCAGACATACATAAAGTGAAATAACAATGGCAACAACAAAAATAATAATAATGCTAATCATAGCGATCGCTTAGATTAAGAGAGAAATCTCTAATTTTGGACTACCATACATGCAATAATAGTATACTACCGAGCTAGCTTTATAAATTTTGTTCAATAAATAGTAAATGATGGAATAAATTTCAGTTTTATTATATTTTAATCATTTTATTAAATTTTATTGTATTTAAAGTGAGGAAACGTGACATCTAAATCACATGACTCGATTTAATTATTCTCTATAAAAAAATAAAATAGTTACCTTTGCGTTTGAAATGTATTAGTGGTGCAATGGCAGCATGCAGGCTTCCCAAGCTTGCGGTCCGGGTTCGATTCCCGGCTAATACATTTTTGAATCATTAAACCTTTTTATTGAAATAGAGGGATACATAATATACAGCTTGTTTTTGCTTTGAGTGTTCTTTTTGAAAATTATCTTCCTTTAAATACTGGCGATCTTTTTTCACTGAACGCTTTCAATGCTATAAGTAGATTAACATTAATATTATTATTGTATTTGAACAAATACTCGAAATTTCAAATAATGAAATTATTCAAAAAAGAGTAATCCAAACCTTCAATACGGTCTTCGGTTGGGACAACTTGATCATAACAGGTTTTTTCGAAATCCAGTCCTGACTCTCTGATTATAATAAAGTTAATCTCACGAAATACTAGTGATTTGGATTTTCGTCAACTTACAAGTCCACTTGGCTTCCTCGATCAATTGCAAGTTTGGCTAATCGAATTGCAATCGGTCCTTTTTCAGAAAGACAAATATACAATTAACTTTGCGTGATCACGAAAGGTACCTAATTACTTTGATAAAAAATACCAGTCGGCAAGATTTCTCTAGCCAATTCGAGAGCTTTTGGGAAAGATGATCCTCCTTTAACAGCATAATTTACGATTCCTATATAGTTAACAAAAATGTTGAAAAAAATATTATCACATTAAAAAAAAAAGGTGAATTCTTGTGAACACATAAGCTCACCTAGATCTAAAGCTTGCTGTCCATTCAAATTTCTCCCAGTAAAAATCAATTCTTTTGCCTTCCCAAGACCAATTACACGCATTAATCGTTGAGTACCACCTGCCCTAATTTTTAAGCTTCAATTAAGAACACACCAAATAAAAATATTTTTTGCATCCCTTTTACTAATTACCCAGGTATTATTGCAAGCTTAGTTTCAGGAAGCCCAATTTTCGCGTGCTCGCCTAGATTAAAAATTTAATGTGAAGAGGAGATCAAAAAATAATCCGGAAGAGAAGACCGAAAATAAAAAATACCAGCAACTCGCATATCACAGCATAGGGCCAACTCTAGGCCTCCACCAAGAGCCGCACCATCAATAACCGCAATTGTTGGCATAGGAAGCGTCTATATAGAATCTACTGTTGAATTGATTATTTCGATAAATTTTACGAAATTCATTTTTTTAGTGTAAAGATTATAGCTACTTCGAGTCCTCGATATGCGTGTCGTAAGTTATTAAGAAATTTAGATATTTCTTCTGAAGACATTGTAGCGCGTTCCTTTTATGACAAATATATAATTTAATATACATGGAAATATAAAAATTTGATTTGCATTTACAAATAAAGTATTTCAACAAATCTTTATTTTATAGTTCACCTTTAGATCTGCCCCAGAACAAAACACTTTATCTACCAGACTGCGAATCAATACAACTCTCGTCTTACTAATTATACAACGCTATCAGCGAAACAATCCCATGTTAGTCAAAATTTCGACTGCATCAATCCTACGTGTGATATCTCAATCCTTCAATAGCCTCTCGAAATTCATCTAAAAAATTACGCGAAATTGCATTTCTCGTTTGTGGACGATTAAAATTTATTACTGCAATGCCTAAGTTAAAATAAAATACTGAAAATAATCAACAAATTTGATTGAATAGCGCTTGTATTAAAGAATTCTTTATTTCGTAAGCTTTCATTTTACATTACAATACTTGTTCAAATGTAAATCCTATATTCTATGCATAAATCATTTTCTATTAACAACCTGTATTTTCTTCTTCCAACTCTTCAACAAAACACTCCTTTTGCGCTTTGGCAGCTGTTGTCTGCAAAGCACGAACAGATAGTTTACTAACGTGACAACGATAGGATTGCCCTGAGATGTTTAAGAGAGTTCTTGTTATCATCATTATTTATGAGACATGGGAAATAATTATGAGTTATTAAAACGCGTAAACTTCCACGTTTTTACTATACAAATCTAATGGTTTTATGCATATGCATGTGTGGCATAATATATAGCAAGAAACTTCTTGTTATATATACTATCTTAGACTCTAGCTGCCATTAGCAAAAATTGAAATCATGTCCATCGAAAAATTGAATAATCTTGATAATTTTATATTAAAGACTGAAGTACGTATTGATTATTTAACTTGAATAAATACTTTAATTAATGCTTAATTTATTGTAAAAAATAATAGAGTAAAAATCTAACTTGGACCGTGGCACTCATGTGGACTTTTGAGAAATCAATCGACGTGAATTCATTAACGGATCTATTTCAAAATCTAGTGGAAGAGTTTCCTCGGTTTAAAAGCCGACCAGTTGGAGATCATTTTTGGTGGACGCATTCCTGGGAAAAAATTAAAGATTTTAATGTTTCTGATTGTATAGAGGCATATACACTTCCATTACCGGGATCAAAAGATGAATTAGAAGCTTACTTTGGAAAGGTAATTGAGGAACGGTTTGATCTGTCTCGCGCATTATGGCGTTGTTATGTCGTATATGGATTGGATGGTGGCCAAGGATCAGCTGTTATCATCAAAGCTCATCATTGTATTACAGATGGAGAAGGCTTTATGCGTGCTGCTTTGTTAGCATCCTTAGGATGGGAGAAACTGGAACAAGCATTTAAAATTATGCGTGATCGTCTTAATACACCCAAACCAAAACCAAGTGAACTGCCAATCCTCCGTCTCTCTTTTATCCGACCACATGTTAACCGAATACCATCAGGCCTGATTGATACATACCTTTTTTTATTGCAGATATTTTCTATATTCACTTGGATTATTGCTGGCTTTGTTAATTCACTGAAATTGACTGCATTGCTACTTTTTACGAGTCGCAAGAACTTTAGATGTGATCTTAATACACATCAAGAGAGTTCAACCAGGACTAAAAGAATAAGTTGGTCGGATGAAATCAGCATAGATGATATCCGAATACCTCGCAAGGCGTTCAATGCCTCTTTGAATGATGTGATGGTAGCCACTGTAATCCGAGCTATTCGTAAATACCTCGTTGAAATCAATCGCATCAAAGATAATGACATCGTATTATTCATACCGCTTTCAATGCGCAAGGTCAACGATTTCCGATGTGAAAATATAGTTTCGGGAGCATTCACACCATTCCCATTTGTCGATTTAACTACGAAGCAGCTTATTAAAGCGGTACACAAAAAAATGAGTCTTGTAAAGTGCAGTATTTTTCCTGTACTAATTCATGCTATTGGTGAGAAATTAATCGTGCCGGGTTTGACCAGTAAAACTTTTAATGATTGGTTGACGAGTTGGGGACATGGTGTTTTAACTAATGTTCCGGTAAAAATTTTGGAAATTTCATTGAAAAAAGTTAAGATTTGCGAGCTAATTTGACTTATATTTTGATTAGGGGCCTGCAATACCAATCACCGTCGCTGGACAAACTGTTCAACGATTTTTTGCGCTGCCGCCTCAAAATACGTATGGAAGTAAGTTCCTTGATTTCTCGTTCGCATGTATACTACAAGATTATTAAGCAACTTTAACTACTATGACAAGGTCTCGGGATGGGTATACTCAGTTATAACAACAAACTGAGTTTTTGCGTGTTAACAGATGATTTGATCGAGTATCCACTCTTGGCAAGACGAGTAAGCAAGTTATTTAATGAGGAATTCAACAGGATCGTGGCTGATGCTAAAATTGAACTTGAGCGAATTGAGAAGGGTATTATCGATGAAGATGAAGACAAGGATGATAAAATAGAATTATTAAAAATTGCAGGAATTTTAGTCTTAGCCTTTGGTATCCTTTGGAGTCTGAGTTATAAGTTTATTATAATCTGATACAAATGTGTATAATCACAACCATGTTTAAAGACAACATATTTGCTTTTGTTTATAAAAAATTGATAAGTATCAGAAAGTCATATGCACATTTACGCCACAATATAAGTTTTCAATTCAGCTTTCTAATTAACAGGTAGAAACCAGAGATATGTTTATAATATACCACCGCTCTAAACCGAATTTGTGCCATACCAAGCAAACCAACTTTTAAATAGCCCATGTTTGTGTTTCGCTGGGTGGATTCGAGACCCACTTGCGGGTCTCAGATGCGGAACATCTATGTCGTAATAATTCGATCTGGACCTCTCAACTTTAAAGATTGGAATCATTTACGGTAATTTGCCATTTAGAAGTATCATACACCATGAATTGTATCCAGATCACGGACACCAGTTAAATAGGAAATAAAATAGCTATTCTTTCGCATATTAATACAACAAATCATAAAAAACTAAAAGAAAATCATAATCATGTACGAACAACACAACTTCTTTTCTACATATTTTAGAGCTAATTAATCCATTTCATTGCTATCGATTGGCGTGAGAACTTTACACGATACGTTTTGAAATTAGTTAGTTGACTTGGTTACCGTATTTGCCCCAAAATAAGCACGATTTTTTGAGGCATATTTTGAGCTCTAAATCGGGGTCGTGCTTATTTTCGGGCATACAGAAAGTATCGCCCGATTTACG